ACGTACCAAGTGTTATATAACATAAATTTAGTTCAGGAGCCAAACCCTCAGAAGCCCTACAGTCAAAAGTCAAAACGCCACCACCCAAAGGCAAAGCCCTCCTCCTAGACAAGTAGCGTAGGCACCGCCCTCACTCACTCTCCAGTCCACTACTAGAGAACTACAGACAGAAAAACTTCTACAATGACCAAAATACAAGCTTACGAGGACTTCGTGAAGGTCCACGGCATTCTTTTAGCAGCTTCAGGACTACCTCGTACACTGCACCGCAAACTGTTCGACAAACTTACTTCCGAGACTTTCGATGGCGGCGCCTACTTCCAAGTCGACCCATGCCAGGATGGCCGTCAGAGGCGCCTCCTCTTTACCTCTGCGGCCTCCATGCCCAAAGATTCCAATGTTTTTCTCATTGACCACGCCTGGACTTTTCGCCTCTCTGATGCTTATAAACAGGTACTGTCTACTAAATTTTTGTACCTTTATTGTATTCTTTTAGTCAAGTGAGTTCAATTTAATGCAAAGGCTTTTCAGTTTAGAGGTTTCTTTGTTTATTGGATGCTTTGATTTGTTGGTGTTGTTAGAGAACGAACCAACCCAGAGAAAATGATATAGCAATTGTTTAAGCTTTTTTGAAATTGAGTCATTTGAAATGTGATGGTTTTGAGAAATTATGATCATCCCGTGGTATTTTTTTGTGGGTTATGGGTATTAAAAACTTGTGATTGAAAGTTTTGCTAAGAGTTTTGGACACAATGCTAGTGGCACACGCATTTTTCTTCAGCGGTCAAACACCGACTTTCTTGGTGGCATTAAGAATGACATGGTGATGGATTCTAAGCAAGGCATCACGTGTTTGTGGAAGAGTAGTGGTGCTAATGGCACGCGCATTTTTCTTCAGCGGTCAAACACCGGCTTCCTTGGTGGCATTAAGAATGACATGTCGATGGATTCTAAGTAAGGCATCACGTGTTTGTGGAAGAGTAGTGGTGATGTTTAGTGACACTTTTTATCATCCCCTATTTTTTCTCTCTCATCTCTTTAGGATTCACATTAATCTAGCTAAAATTAAAAGGTGTTATGTCATTAAATTTTTATTTCAAATTTGGTCCTCATTCTATTGATTTTTTTTTTGTATTGGGTCCTTTTTTAAAATAAAGTTTTTTTTTTTTTAATTTCATCATTCATCATTGGACTAGTTAGGAATTGAGTTTCATGATTTTTTTTATAAAGTGATCATAACCTCATGACTTGGGTTACAAGTTTGAAAGATTAATCCGGATTGACATCAACATTTTTTAGATCTTTTTTTATACTTATTTTCCTTTTCAATTTCATCCTTTAACATTGAGTTTTTTGAAAATTAGACTTCATGATTTTCATTGCTTTCCATTCAATAGGGTTATCATAGTCTTATGACTTAGATTGTAAGTTTGGTGGGTTAGCCCAGGTTGACCAGAGTCTTTTTCTGGGTCATTTATTTTAGATTGAATATTTTATTTGGTTTTATCATTTGATATTTTATTAGTTTGAGAATTGGGCATCATAATTTGTTTTTTTTTTTAGAGTTATCCTAGCCTCATGACCCATGTCAAAACCTATTTATTTTTTCTTTTCTTTTCTTTTTATAAAAATTCAATTATGTCCTTTAGTATTTGGTTTTTAAGAAATCTAGCTTTGCAATTTTTTATCATATAATTAAATAAAACTAACTTATTTGACTCATTTGGGTTTATTATTTGAGTTGTGATTTTTTTTACTGTTTTTTAAACACACTAGCAACATATGCACATCCCTTTTATATGACAAAAATCTCAACCCGACCACTGACATAACATGAGCCAAGTATCTTACCTAATTGTGATGAAGGAAAATAAGTAGAAATCTGGATTTTTATGGCTTGATATTGTTGCTAGTTATTAAGCATGGTTGTTAAAACTAGATTTTAATTTCAAATCAGAAAACCTATTTTAGAGATCGTGAACCTTAAGATTTGATAAAGTTGGGGAAAAACCTCAAATTAAATTGGGTGTTTCCATAACCAGTGTGATCGGCTTTATATAAGTTTTCATTAAGTTGGATTGGAGTGATCTTTGAACTCTAACGAAAAAGGTATCATATTGAGAAAGGTGACCCTCTGATATTTAAGTTAGCAAATTGTAGAAAGAAATTAATGTACAACAAAAAGGACAAGAACAAAAATAAAGTGTATAAGAGAGTGAATATTATGAATGTCATATGTTGTGTAAAGTTGTTTGTAGTGACCTGACATAATACACACTAATCATATAAAATTATCTTATAAAGTAAAAAGTTTTAAGCATAACATGTCAGAGTAATCATAGAAAATAATTACCTTTACTGCATAGTAAATTTGTAAAATAAGTTATTAGTTATTGCATCTTGTTGTGAAATTTATGAGACTAGTAGGTATCTATACTGATAATTCATGTAATAAAGAACTAGGTGTGTATTGTGTAACATCAAGAGTTTTATGGTGGTGATGTATTATAAGAAATACTCTTATAACTTCCATAACTTTTGTAAAAGAAAATTAGGTGTGTTTTATGTTGCACTAATGGGTGGTTATATGATGTCGTATTGATAAAGCGAGTGTGTACAAGGTATTTGTGTAGTTAGATCACTTATAAAACATTATTTTTTTTCTCTATTTTTCCTTCTTTTTTGCAAGTTATTTAGTCAAGAAAATTTAGGATTAAATTGGAAAGTTATTAAAGAATAATAGATTAAAATAGAAAAAGAAAAAAGTTGGTTGGGAAGTTGATGCGATCATAACTTTAATACCAAGAGACTCATTAGAGGTTTTCATTAGGTTCAGTTATAAAACTTAGAGCAAAGAGATTCAAGGAGATAATTAACGAACTTTTTCAAAATACATGGGTTAGGGTAGACTTTGAGAGGGTATCAAAGAATAAGCCAAGAGACTCATTAAAGGTTTCATTGGGTTCAGTTATAAAACTTAGAGCAAAAAGATTCAAGGAGATAATTAACGAACTTCTTCAAAATACATGGGTTAAGGTAGACTTTGAGAGGGTATCAAAGAATAAAGAATAAGCCTTAATTAATTTGATTCATGTCCAAGAAAAGCTTGTATGAGAGCATCCAAATATTACAGAAAGATTGGAATAAAAAGATTCAAATATGCCAGTTTTGATCTTTTGATATTATTTTGGCCATAAATAGAGCTACAAAATAAATTTTGATGTGATTCTAGTTGCATTGAAAAGTAGATATCCATATATTTTCAATAATATACGGTGGACCTTATAATTCATCTAAATAAGGGAGAGATTTGTTTGAAGTTGGGCTTTGATTCTGTCGACAAATTATAAAATTCAACTTTAATCTTGTTTTAATTAGTTGAGTTATTATTTATTTATCTTTTAATTTATTTTAGGGTTTGCGGAGTTTAAGGGTTTATTGTTATAACCAAGAGTGTCCTTGTTTTGTCACGTTTGCTTTTTCTACTTGAATATAGTTTTTCATTACCTATTTTACTTTTAAGAAGAGGTTGGTCAAAAAAAATACATATGCATTTCCATATAAAATAGCTATAAACATTACTAATAAGGTTTTAGTGGTAATAAGTTGGGATAGATTTTATAAACTAAGCATTTTCTCATTGCACATTTGAAGATATATTTTAATACTTTCATCTTCTTATTGTATGATGATAAATATATTTTTTATATTTTTTTAATTAACATACCTGTGTTGAAGCAATAGATGAGTTTGGTGTAGAGATACCCAAGTCAAGAATGAAGCTAATACCTATGTTATGATATTATGCTTGAGCAAATCTATAAAGTGTTATCAAAAGGATTTTACCCATATCATGAATTTTTTTTATACAAGTTCCAAGATAATTTATACATTTTATATACATTCCTTTTATATGTGTTCTAATCAATGGTGATGATGTTCATTCTTAGAAGCTCATTTAATATGAATCTTATCTAACATCGTGGTCTTTTTTATATAGTCCTTTTTATAAGGACTATATGAGTGAGATTTAAAATATTCAGTTTAAGAATATTTTTCATAATGAGAATGGCTTTTTTAGAGGGTTAGAGTATGAGTATTTTCATTCCTACTTTCTTACATGTTCTATAATGTTTCTTTAAGAAACTAGAGTTGTTTATGTGCATTTAATAATGAATGTAGTTGAGCTAGTTGTTATGTTATCCATTAAGGTAGTGGTAACATTCAAAATTGTTATTAAGTGGTTAAAACAACTTTAGTAAGCAAACTCATTTCAAAGAAGATTTATTAGAGACATGAAGGAGTTTTATACATATGGTATAGATTATAATTACTCTCACATGGCTTGGTGTTCTAAGTTTTTATACATGGAAAGAACTTTTGATGTGTAAAACAAGAATAAACTAGTTTTTGTTTAAGTTCTCATAAATGACATCACTAATAAAATAAAATGAAATTAAATCGAGCCTTTCCACAACTAATGTTTATAAACGACACCACTAATAAAATAAAATAAAATCAAATCAAATTAAATCGAGCCTTTCCACAACTAATGCATTGAGCTTTGTAAGAATTTAAATTAAGTTAAACTAGGTTGGCCCTTGAACACCTACATAAAAAGTCTCATATTAAAATAAGAGACTCAGATATTTAAATTAGTAATTCACAAGAGGAAAATAATATACAATAAAAAGGATAAGAATAAGTTGCATAAAAGAGTGGATGTTATGATTATCTTGTTTTGTGTTTAGTTGTCCATAATTACTTGGTGATCTAAGATATTCAAACACCTCAGTCACATGAAATTACCTCGTAGAGCAGGCATATCACTTAGGAGTAATTATGGAGAATAATTCCCCTCACTATATAGGTAGCCTATAAACAAAGTCATTGGTTGTTATGTCTTATTGTGTTGTTAGTGAGACTTGTAGGCGTCCTCGTTAATAATTCAAGCAACGTAGAACTAGGAGTGCACCTCATAACACCAAATGGTTGCATGACAATGTCGTACTGACAAGGCCAATGACACGATTAAAAGATTGATATCTTCTCTTAAGTGCAGGAGTATTGAAATAATAAATAACCCAACAATATCGAGGTCGAACCACAGGGAGGTTAATTGTATAAATTATGGATAAAAATAATACAACAACAACAACAATAATAAAGGAAAAAAATTGACGAGAACTTTGAGATGGAAGGACGAAAACTTTGAGATGGAAGATTAACGTAAGGATTAAATAATGATCACAATAAATGTCAAGATTAGAGGATCCAGGTATGTCAAACAAGTATAACATATACTCTTATTATTCAATTAGAAACCACACACAAAGGAGGTTTCAATCAGATTATAAATTGTTAACATGATTACATTAGTCATTTTATTCGATCAATGTTAATACTTGTAAATCTCGTCAGACATTCATAATTATAACTTATATTAACAACAAATCAAGTTCCTTTCATAGCTCAGGTGTCGGTTATACCATACAGTATGGGCTATGAAAGTGCCAAGCATTTGTTGTACCAAGTGTTATACAACATAAATCAAGATTAGTCATTTAACAAGCAAAGTATTAAAGAGTAAACAAGATAACAAATATAAAATATGTTAGTATCAAATATTAAAGTTCATATTGAGTTTACATATACTTATTTTTACACTATTAGTGTAACATTTTCACCTTCACATAATAAACTTAGCTAAATATAATGAAAAAAAAAACAAAAAAAACATAAATAAGATAAAAGTTAACTATGTAAAGGAAAGGAATTAAAAGACATAAGTTTAATATTAATAAAAGCAAAATATAAACAATACAAAAAATACAAAGAGAGAAAGCAAGAGCATGATCTTAATTTAGAAACCAGGATACCTAAAGGCATGGTAAATACCTTCTTTTATAAGCAAAAATTAAAAACTATTGATTTAATGACTAATTTATGAATGGATGACCAACTCTTGACTTGGTGATAATCATTATCTTCTTTTGTCTGCCCAAAACATTATTAATAATGTCAAAATTGAAACTACTTAAAAACATGAAAGTTGTAGGAAATTGTCTCAGCTTTTCAAAAAAAAAAAATTATTTAGACTTCTAGAACTCCAGATATGGGTCAAACACTGAACAGTGCACAGGCTGGAGGACAGATTCGGACTTCTTTGTTGTTGCTATAATTTGAACTTAAAAATAACTTTTTTAAATCTTAGACTCCATATAAAAATTATTCGTTTATACCTTACATTTCCATCCATATAGAATATATCTAAATCCAAAATCTACAACTTCAAATATGACCCAATTATCAAATAGTATTCTGGTTTGAACTATATCAGCATTTCTTTTATAAGTTTGGTCATTTCTTTATCCTTTCAATTTCAATTCTTAAATTCATCAATCAAGCCTATCCTTTCAATTTCAGTTCTTAAATTCATCAATCAATCCTTTTATTTATGTGATAAGCCTATATTTAAAATGAACATTTACCACAAATTAAAAATATCTTATATTATTAAATATATTATTATAAAAATTATTTTAATTAAAAAATTATTAATACTTCAAGTGCAAAATAATAATATAAAACCTTAATAAAAATATATTTTTAAATACTAATAAGTCAAGTACCCATAACTTCCATAATTTTTGTAATGAGAACTCAGGCATGTGTCGCATAATACTAATGGGTAGTTACACAATGTTGCTTTAACAAAACAAGTATGTACCAAATATTTGGGTTATTAAAGAATGTGTAGGATATTTTTTTTTTCCTTTTCATTTTCCTTTCTGCTAATAAGTGGTTACGCAATGCTACTTTAACAAAGTAGGTATGTACCAAATACTTTAGTTGTTAACTATTTTTTTTTCTCTATTTTATTTTTTTTTCCTTTCTGCTAATATGTACCAAATACTTGAGTTGTTAACTATTTTTTTTTCTCTATTTTCACTTTAAATTTTTTAATAAATTTTTAATTTAGTCCCGCATCACACATGTTACATATGTTAGCATGTGGAAAAGATCTATCACTTTATAACAGTGTGTATGACTTCAATGATGACTTTTTTTTTCTAATATTATTAGATTTATCATTAAGATTTTTATATTGTATGGCATGCGGTGTAATTAAAGCTATTGCAATGCTTTATAGTATTTTCTCTTTTTTCATTTTGTTCTCTTTCATACCTTAATTTGCCCACATTATTTATGACCAATAAATAAAACTAGAATGGAATTCATTTTGAAAAATGCTTTACACTAGAGTCTATGGGATTTTTAAACCATTAAAAGAATATAATATCAGTGAATTTTCCAAATACTTTTCATTTAAAATTGCATTAAAGTAATATTTTATTTATTTATTAAAATTTATTTTTAATATCAACACATCAAGACAATTCAAAAATATTTAAAAAATTAATTTTAAACAAAAAAATAAATGAATTTTGACCTGGTAACTACAACATAATTTCAACGCATCAATTATACCCATTCTAATCACTATTATATCTTTAAAAAAACTTCAAGTCTGGATTTATAACAGTGAGTTTTCACCAGCATCTCAATAGAAATCTTTGAAGTTGTCACAAGCGAAGTCATTGAAGTGGTTAGCAGGGAGCAATATAAACACACATCAATCAAACATCGAAGGCAGAAGAAAAATAAATGATAAAAAATGCAACATTTTCATGAGGATGAAGGTAGGTGCTGATTTTGGTGAGTAGTTTATGCCAAAAAACAAAACATTTTACTGGCTCAGAGTCGGAGGAGCTCCACCCAGCACTACAAACCCTAGTCAAGTTACGCAATGATAGTAAATATACCTAGCCATTTACATGTACATACAGCTCAGTACAGTGTTAGAATCCTAGGGAATCCTAATCTACATTGATGAGAATACATGCACAATGCATTAAACAATGCCAGCATATAAACCAGTAGCTGTTTAGCTGTTGAACTGCTTAATCCAGAAGCCTGGTATAAGCTTTCTCAGGCCTGCTATAAACTTCAAGTTGTAGTCCCTTGGGCGAAATACTGAAGAATATTGATAAGTTACTAAGTCATCACCATTTTTATCTTCATATAAAGAAAAGAAGTGAACTTTTTATTAAAAAGAGAATAGACACCATCATTGTGAGTTTTAATCTGCATCAAAAATTTCCTAGATTGCGGCATACTTGAAGTTAAACATCATTAGGTTCATTAGAGGTGCTACAAGCATGAACAACACAATGTTTAACCTAAAGACAACCAATGTCTAGAACAACAAAAACAAAAAAAATAAGAGACAAGTTTTTCATTTAAATTGAAGTCAAAAGATAGGCCTTCGCTCTACTCCAACATGGGGTATCTATCAAAAACTAACAGGAGCACAGTTTCGATTCCCTAGAAACAAATTTCAGGAAATATTCTTCACCAGACCAAACATATAATAGATCACATCACTTGAAATCCCAAAGTCAGATCTTTGCAGGTTCACTTAGCTACTAGAGAGGATGGTTTAATCAGCAATGTCAGCCTCGAAAGAAACGAAATCACAAAGAACCCACATGGATAAGCATTTTAAGCCAGTTGTTGAATCATTGAAGGTTCAGAATATCACAAATCACCATGAAACAAGAGAATTACAAAGAAACAAATAAAAACCCACATCTCCTTCCCCGCATGCCAATTTAATCAAATGTTCTCGAGAAAGAAAAAAAAAACTTGCGATAAGAGATACCTTATGTAATTCTCATACAGATTAACAAAACAACGTTGGAGTATTATTATACTACATAAGGTCATATGTATACCACGGCAGGAGAAAGCTTAATTATATCTCCAGGTGACCCAACAATAGGCAGATTTCCCACACTTTCCAAGAAAATATTCAGCCGAATTCCAGGTTTCGGATACGATTCATCAACTATTTTCACTGTGCAAAAAATTTCTAAAAATTCGTAAAAATTAATACACACGCATATGCATATATAAAAGAGTGGCTCAGAACAGACACCTTTATAAAAGAAGTTCATCAATCTACTACCAACCACGAAAAATTAATTAGTTTTCTGGTAGCAGCCGTAAGTCCGGCCTTTTTTTATCATCATCGCCACTCAAAAATCAGGATTTGTTTTTAAACCGATAAAAAATAAAAGCTGAAACAGGAGTTTTTTTAAACATACCGTGCCCGAACACGTGAACGACGCCGATTAGATTGCCTTTTGCTAGTTAATAGAAGAAACGGCCCTCTTTATTTACAGAAACTTGTAGTCGTCTCCCTCTTCCATCTCTCTCTCTCTCTCTCTCTCACTCACTTGTGACTATCACCTTGTGCTCCCTCTACTTATTTAGGGTTTTTGTGAAGGGTAGGAGGCGCACTTTTTCTTTTTTCATTTGAAGCACGTTCTTACCTTTTTGCCCTTCCTTTGTTCTAAAACAAAAGGTTGATTTTCGAATAAAGTTTTTTCTCTTAAAAAATAAAAATAAAAATTGGATGAAGTTTGTAAATTGTAAATATTGTTGCTTATATATTTTAAGAATTGTTTTTTTTTGTTTTTTTCCTGAAAAAAAGGATGGTTTTACTGGAAACACATATGCTAGCAAGCATTACTCAAATTACAATGTATTAAGAGTTTGTTTACAAACGTTGATACACAATAGTGTTTTTTTTTAATTTTTTATTAAAAATTATTTTTATATATTTTTAAATTATTTAAATGTGATAATATCAAAAATAATTTTTTAAAAATAAAAAAAATATTATTTTAATATATTTTTATATTAAAAATACCACAATTATTATTATAATTTCAAATATATCCTAAGTTTTTATCCACTAATCTATCTTCTTCCTGATTTTAATCTATCGTATTCCTAAAGATGTCAAAAGGCATATATTGCAATCTACTAACTAATTTAATTTGTTTTTGTTATTTTATTAATAATACTCTAAAAAGGAAAAGTAATACACTAAAACATAAAACATGTGAAAAAAAAATATTGTAATAATAAATAATATTTTTCTTCATATTTTGGTGGGCTCTAAGAAACAAAATTACATTTTTGTCTTATAATTTTTTAATTAATGTTTTTTTAATTTTATTTTTTAATATTATATTTATCCGTGAGGAGTAGTCATGGTGCGCGCAAGCTGGCCCGAACACCCCACGTAAATAAAATAAAAAAAAGTATTGTAGTAATAAATAATATTTTCCTTCATATTTTGGTGGGTTCTAAGAAACAAAATTACATTTTTGTCTTATAATTTTTTAATTAATGTTTTTTTAATTTTATTTTTTAATATTATATTTATTTTTTATTATGTTATCTCATTTTCATGATAAAAAACATGAGTTTGATAGGTTAACCCGGTTGGTTAGAGTTTTTTTTTAATTTTTTAATTTTATCCTTTAATATTGGGTTAATTAAAAATTAGACTTTCTGATTTGTTTTATTTACTTTACATTAGGTTAATTTGATTTCATAACCCGAGAATATTATTTAACGGGTTAACCCAAGTTGATTTGAGTTGTTTTTTGTATATTTTTATTTGAGATTTTTTCTAATTTTATCATTCAATATTGGATCAATTGGGAATTGAACTTTATAATCTGTTTTGATTTATTTTCTATAATGCTATATTGATCTCATGATAAAGGTTACAGGTTTTGGTATTTTGGTTAAATCAAGTCTTTTTTTTTAAGAGGTTATCTCAGTCTTATATCTTTCAATATTAGATTTGTTTTTTATTGATTTGAATTGCAGGTTTGATAGATTAATCTAGTTGACTTAATTTTTTTAATTGAATTTCCCCCCTAATTTTATCATTTAATATCTTATTTGATTGAGAATTAAACATTATGATTTATTTTAATTTTGATTTTTATGATGTTATTTTAATGTTATGACCTGAAAATAATACTTAACAGGTTAATCTATATTGACTTTGCTCATTTTTTATGTCATTGTTTTAATTAATTTTTTTACAAATTTCATTGACTCATTTTTTATGTCATTATTTTAATTAAATTTTTTACAAATTTCATTGTTCAATATTGGGGCCAACATGATCGATAAAGCATTAAGTTTCATAGTTTATTTTTATTTGCTCTTTTTTGGGTTATTTCAATCTCATGGTCAACATCATGGATTTAACAAGTTAATTCGGGTTAAATCAAATATTTTTTCTTTCTTTCTTTCTTTTTATGAGGTTAATAGGTCGTATAATTTGGATCATGAGTTTGGTGGAATGACTTGTGTTATTTTTTATGTTATTTTTTTAATTGACTTTTTTTTTTAGTTTTATCCTTCAACATTGAACTGATTGAGAATTGAACTTTATAATTTGTTATAATTTTCTTTCTATTAGGCTATCTCAATTTTATAACCTAAGTTGTGAGTTTCACAGGTTAATTCAGGTTGTTTTTTTTTTCATTAATTGTGTTTTTCTTTTAATTTCATCATTCAACATTGAGATTGAAAATTAGACTTTATAATTTGTTTTAATTTGTTTTTTATGAAGTTATCATAGTCTCATAACCTGAATTATAAATTTAACATATTAACTCGAGTTGATTCAAGCTATTCCAATAAGTTGTTATCTTAATGTAAAACAAGATGTCATTTTGAAAAAAAAATATTGAGTTAAACTATGTTTTTACGAGTCATCCAGGTTGTTTTTTAGACCTACAAAGTCAAGCGGATTACATTTAATCAACCTTTATATAATTTAATTTTTTATTAAAAAAATATTAGCGATATTTAAATATTTTTTTATATTTTAAAAAAATTGATCTGACACCGCGGGTCAAAGTTCCACTACAAAAACTAAAAGAGATAGTAAAAATATTGTGAACCATATTTATTTTTATTATGGATTTATACAATAATTCAAGTTTAATTTCTTATCTTTTTTTCTATTAGACAAAATTTATTTTACTCTTTTTTTATTTTTCTATGTGTCCTTTCCTTAACCACATTTCTTCCTCCTCTCTCTTTTTGAACTTTTTTGCACCTACGATTATGCTTTTTTAATTTATCTCCTTTTTATGAACCAAATCAATAAGGGAGAGAAAAACTATAGAGAAGGTTAATTTTCATAGATTTAACAATGATTAAAGCAATGTTTGATTTGTAGGTTTCATAAAAATTAACTCAAGAAACCTATATAACCTGGCAAGAATTTAACTTTCAAAAGTCACAAGCCTGATTCAAGGAAAGAGATCCATAGGGAGTTGTCATTGCTACTTGGGTCACCAAAATATAAATTCACCATGTTTGTAACACCCCGTGATTTAATACATTGGTAAATGAACTTTAAGCCTTAACTTAAGAAAATGAGTGTTTTTTTACCAAACTTATATAGGACTTGTCAAAAATTTTATTGAATTTTTGAGAGAGTTTCCTTTATACTAAGAAATCCCAAGTTATCGACAATCATCCTATACACATCTTATACTAATTTCTCAATTATATCATAATCATGTTGAACCTCAACAACACATCATTCATGGTACATGCATAATATTTCACATATTGATTCCTTTCCCATTAACACATATAATTCATAATAAATGGAAGTAAAACATTAAGATTACACATACAAAATAGTGCAATTTTATGTCCCATACTTAATATAAAAGGAGAACTATTATATATTAAGTCATTTAGTTTTTTAAATAAAAAATATATTAATGTTCATTTCTTCTCTAATCATACAAAAGGAGACTAGAATACCTAAAACACTACTTCTAGCATGAATGTGAAAGACATACAATTTCATAATATATAGAATAAATATAGTAAGAATAAAATATAGCAAAGAAGAAAAATCACTAAATACATGCGCATGTAATTAAACATATATTTAACGATATGCAATCATAGTTCTTTGAAATTCTTATTTAACCTTCCATTATAATGTCTCTATTCATCATTCCTGAAATCGTTCATCATTTTCATTTTGTGTCTTGTTTCACCGTATGAACACATTTAATTCGTTATAATATCTACCATGTTATTTCTCTCTCTCTTTCTTTCTCTATCTTTATATCAATTCTAATCCTAAAATCTATTATACTCATTATAGCTCTTCTATATAAATAATTAAAACTCATTATGTTTTTTTTTTAATTTTTTTTTTCAAATATATTCAACTTATATATTTCTTGTGCCTATTTTGGCACATTCTAATGTTTCTTTAGATTTTCAATAAAATCTCTTCTTATCATCGAACTTACTATCATTTTCACAATATTCATATCCGATCCATCTTAAAATAATATGAATATCTTACATGCATCAATTAATCAATCTATTTAATTCATCAATCTAATCTCATTTGGCCACTATAATTAAGGCCAAATTTTATAATCCATCACTCATATAGTTGACTAATTATATAATTCTTTATTTACTTTCTCACATCATTCTATATAGTAACCAACTTACTTCTTGTTGAATACCGTGTATTTAACATATAAAAATTTTAACTCTGGTAATACATTTTCTTTAAATTCTAAATATTATAACAAATTATTTCTATGCATCTTCAATGTTTGAACCAAGCCCTTTATGATCTTATACAATAGGTATAACAATTGGTAGTCATTGTCATACATCGTTTCATCACTGTTATTAGTATTTTATTACATTATTATAATTACCACCAAATTCTTATCATATTAACAACAACACAAAACCTCAATACAATATATTTACATTGTGAGTCATAATCCTTTGACATTGCGCATTACACAATTCTCAAATTATATTAATTACAATTCATCAAATAATTTAAATTACATCATATATATATATATATATAAAAAAAAATTGAATCCCTCAATTGTACAATACCTACCATGGTCAATAAACTTTTATTTTTAAATTGAATCCCTCAATTGTACAACACCTACCATGGTCAATAAACTTTTATTTTTACATTCCAAACAATACAATCTTTGCCTTTATCTTTTACAAGGATTAGATCTTCATCAATTTAATTTTTTTCTTCAATAATCCACAACATAAACACAATTTACCACTTTTTTTAACTGTTAGGTTTCATCTAACATTCTATTTATAGTATAATAAATTAGTTATCCTGACAATATTAACACCACACAAATCAGTTTAACTCAAATTACATATTTCAGTAATTAGAAAAACTAATGGGACCAATCCATTACCGAATAACTAGTTCTTTCACCCATTTTATTCCATAATTTCCAATCAATATTAATCTCTTTAAGGCCGAATGAATAATCCTTTCAAGATGTCAATCCCTATTTCATTAACACTTTTAATCATTCCTTATCAGAAATAATGTTATAACACCTCTCCCCTAAAACTTGGAAGGGAATACCAACACTAATGAATTTTCATTAGTGTCATTACTCGTCCATATCGGGATCG